GCTGTTTTGCTTCATCCAAACCTCACTCACTCCGAGCCGATCTCATAGACCTCCAAGAAGTTCTATGCAGTAAAGGCCGCATTCCTTGGCTTATCCTAAGCTTGTCCAGGTCATACCGTGGACGGACTAAATCCTGCAGCACCTAAGAAACCCTGGAATGATGATTCCCCTGTGAACGGATTTTGTCCATCCACAGTACGCTGGCCGTAGGCTCCCCTCCACCGCCCCAGCCCCCTAGCCAGAGGATGGAGATCCTTAGGTGGTGTGCAGCGGGGCGTGGGGCCGCTCCCTGGCCGTCCTGGCCGCAGGCTATCGTGGGTCTTCTGGTTTCGACAGGATCTTCTGGTTTCCCCTTTTTGGTGCGCTCCCAAAGGTGGCAAAACCTCTTGTTTCCACGTCCTTTGGCCAACTTAGTTATAGTAAAGCCTATGCAAACCAGTATATCTTATCAACCAGTTTGTGGGTTTGGGCCTGGCTCATGTGTCTTTGTTGGGAACCCAAATCTTTTGGTTGTAAAGCAAAGCGAAAAGGAATCGCCTCCCCTTCCAGACAAACCATGTGGTTCACATCCAAGCCGTGAGCAGTCTAGCTGGCTTGATGTGGGCAAAAGGTAAGGCCCCCTGCAAGCGAGGGGTGTTGGGCGCTCCTTTTATGTTAGTTTCCTAGTCGGTCTCCTTTTTGGTTGGTTTTTTTCAGCAAAACCAAAAGGCCAGGGAAACCGCCATTGTTTTGGGGTCCTCCAAGACAGACCCGCACATCTGGGAGAGGACGCGCTAAGTTGGGCCGGGGGTTCGAAGTTAAGACCTAGGCTGCGGAATTGATGCCGTCCCACCCAAGCGGCATCACCCCTGTTACCAACCGCAGCCCCTGAGACTTTTGGGGCAGAAGTTGACCAGATCTGGTCCTTGGATATTCGTTACACAACATGAAGCCGTAGATGTCTACAAGGGCCTAAATGCTTGGAAAGGGGTTCTGGGGTACAAGTAAACCGACTGCAGTCATGATCATAAGAGGGCAATGTATGCTGCGATGTAGCCCTTCTATCACCCTTGGTCAAGTTGAGCATTTGGTAGCTGGGATCGGCGCATCCGGCGGCTTGGCACATCAAGTCCTCTTCGGTGTAATTCACGCAGTTTGTCCAACGCGGGTGGGGGGTAGGGTGGGGGAGTCCGATAAAAACTTGATGAAACCTTCACCGATTCACATGCGGACCTGGATCCCTTGCCCGCAGTCGCCATGCTCAACTTCGCCTGAGATGTATCGGCAACTGCCCCCCGAGCGCGAGGGGACGTATCACTTACCGGTCGAAGGCAGCGTCACCCGGTGACCGTGCCCAGCATTTGCTGGCCCTTGTTGCTGCTACTTGTGGAACCCAAACATCGGGGAAGGAGATTCTAATGTCGGGTGATGTTCTGGTTCTATATGAATTACGTGTTTGGCAGAAAAGCAGAGGCACGGATTGTGACAAGCCATGGCCTTTCGATTTCTTCAGCGGCTAATGGTTTGGACACATGAGATTTCGGCCTCACTTCCCGTCAGTTTGCGACCGACTTCATCCCGTTTCCTTTCTTGGAAGTCCATTTCTTATTTCCTGGATTATGAGATCGACTTAGGAATGGTTCGGTTCTCTTCAGGGCTGCCTGCAAGGCAGCTGATTGGAGTTTTACGTGGCTATCACTTTTCTCCGCTGCCGGATGATCAGACCGAGTCGACCGAGTCGATTGAAAGAGCCTGGAAGAAAAGCGGGCGAGCGCCGGCGAGATGGCCGCCAGCAGTGTCCCGTGTGGAAATATGGGTGTGTCTTTTTTCAGGGGACCCCCTTCAAAATGGTGGTTCTCCTTTTAGTGTCCCCTCAAAACTAACCATAGGGGGCTCCCCAAAAGAAGACACCCAAGTTTGTGGGAAGACGTGTACAATTGGAGGTTTTCCTTAATTACGACTTTGCGTTCCACTTGCGGGCTGTTTCTAGCCTTGTAAAATCCAAATCACACAAATGGCGGTTGTCAGCGCAAAGAGGTGGCACCAGTAACCCAAAAGGTAACCCCCCCAAACGATTCGGTCAACATGTCTGATAGTATGAATTTACGATGGACATATGGTGGATGCCCTGAACAAAGCAAGTAAACCAACCGAACGGAGTTGCCTTGTTCCCTCACTTGCGATATTTATGGCATCTGTAGGGGGACTCACAAAATGCCCACCAAAAAACCAAAACTAGGGGGGACCTAATTTCCCGTGCCAGGCCCAACAGTTCTGCCTACGTTTTGAATTTCAAGCTCACTGATCCTGGGAAACCGGCGAGTTCACGCTTGAGATCAATCAACTACATGCGAGCCCACGTGTTTACGTGGACAATTGGGCCTTTGGTGGTTCTGACTCGAGGACACTGATCAAATTTTGACAGGCATGGAGGTCCTTTAGTTGGGATGCAATTCTTATTTTAGACGTTGGAATGATTGACATTGCAGATCTTTGGGGGTTGGGCACTGGAGCCGTTGGTCGATCCTTGTGTGGCCATCAGGGAATTTCAGGTCCAGACGCGTTGCCCCACAGGCAACCTGAGTTACGCTAAACTCACCTCCAAGCTGGGCTTGTAATAGCTCGTTGTCCACCCAGCTTCTTTTCAACTGCCTGTGTTGGTTTGCGTCTGATGGAACCTGCGGAAAGGGAATTGGGCAAGGAGCTTGCAACCGTCCAAGATTGGGCTGGGCTAGTTCCCCCCTAGAAGGACCAGGGTCAAGGGCATTTTCAAGCCTGGGTTTTGGGGGTATCACAAAACCCTTTCAACTCCAAGAGTCTATGGCTGGGACCCGCCGGGAATCCGCGTTGTCAGCATGACCATGACTGCTTTGCCCGCTGTAGGCTGGCTTGGCAAGCTGTTCGCTCTTAGAAGGCAGCTTGGTATTGTCAGGTATGGGGTCTGGAGGTTTAGAGGTCGACACCGCTTACAAAGGGTAGATGCCTTGGAAGCTGTTGGGGTCCAACAACTTGACTCTTGGCAAGGGATCAACGAATCACCAAGGAGTTTTCTAGTGCTGGTTGGAGTGACCCATGAGCTGGGAGGCCGATGAGTGCATGTGGCAAAACAGTTTGGGACTTGTTTGGCCAATCCGCTCAGGAAGTGAGACAAAAGTGGCTTTGCCAAGCAGCTTGTTCAATTTCTCCATGCTCCCGGCAAATTTGAATCTGGAGCCCAAAGAGGGTGTCCCCTTGCCAAACAGAGATCCCACTACAGATGGATATTTGTCGGTTCCCAATGGTCAGGGAGCCTTCTGCCCGGCACAAACGGTAGCCTCGGGGACAGTACCCTTGCCGTGAATAGCTGCGGATAAGAAGCACCCCAGCACCCTTTAAGTGGTCCTTTTATACCTGCAGCGCTCTTGTGCGAGCCATTTTGGGTACACATGGACTGCGCTTGGAGGGTGCTGGCCTTTGATTTCTGTTTGGTCAGACCTCTTAGGTTCTGATGACTCGTCTTTGTCAGGCCTCGTAAATGCAACTAGACTCTCGTGGACGTTGGACCCTCCAAAGGGATTCAGGGTTGTGGGATCAAGGGTTTCTCCCCACTTCTGTGATACAAGGGAATCCCCCTTTCTATGAACACAATAGTCTTTGGAAAGCCTTCCGTTGTATCACAGAAGTGGTCATTCCCCACAGCCCTGAAAGGGATGGTGTCATTTAGTTACACCTTACATTTTTGGGAGGGGTCCCCCAAAAAAAAGGCACATGATTCCGTCAAGCTCCGAACTGTCAACAATACTCAAACCACCGCTTGCGCATCCTCGAGGCTTCTTTTGTTAGATAAGAGAGGTGTGTTGGACACCCCGCAATAAAAAAACGTACCCAACCACAAGCGACCCAGAAGGCCTGGGTTAGGACCATCCAGGCTCTAGGGTGTTGTAAAACGTGCCAAGGTCGGTCCTTTCCATGAACCTGGGCAAGCATGTGTGAACTTTGCCCGCAGCATTCAGCTCATTTGGAGCTCGTTGAAACATGGATTGTATAGATGAACAGCGGATCCAAAGTGAAAGGGACCCATTGCCAGAAGCCAGTTCAGCAGACAGCCAAGCACATCCAGTTCATGTGAGTTGCCGGTTGGCCGCGACGCAACGATGCGGGCATCTCAGGGACAGCTGCGACTGTGGCAAATGGTGGGGGGAAGTCACGTGGAAGTGCGGAGGAAGCTAAATAAGTAAACCATTGGAGGGGCGCAGAATCTTTTGACACAGCTGCATAGGCTTTTCTCCTGAACCCCCCAAACTGGTTGATTTCAATGGTGTCCCTTTTGAACAACTTCATTGAGGCTTGCTTTCCCCTGGCACCCAAACAGGGGCCAGCATCTCTAGAAGCAGCGAAAGGAGACCAAGTCTCAACAAAACCGAATGTGAGGACCTGACACTGAGGATGCTGGGGGGCACCAATGCCAACCTGACGATTGACGATGCGTTGAAGACGGCTCTAGGCACGATATGCGCTGGAGAGGCAGTGGGTCAGAAAAAAAAGGCAAATGGGTGTGGATGAAAATTGAGGAGCCAGGAGGTTTTAGTCTTTTCCATTTGCCAGGGTTCCGTCTTTGGCCCCTATTTTGAGCCACCAAGTTGTTGCCAAGGTCCAAGAAGGGGTGCGAAACTATGGCCCTATTTTCCCTGGCCAACCCCCTCCGCCGGTTCGAGGGGATGCCACAAAGGGCCTCAAATAAATTTCCCCCCCCCCCCCTCCGCCAGCAAAAAAGTGACCAGTTCCTTTAGGTGGGGGCTAGTCTTGATTTGGGTGACCCTAGATGGTTTCTATCAAATGGGTTCCTTTCGGATGCTACACGTGATTGTCCTTTGCAGGCGATCGGAACCCATTTGCTAGAACGCGTCCAACGGGGTGGGCATGTCTCTTTAGGGGACCCCGCCAAGAAAAGAAAGATGTTTCCTTTCAGTTTCCCTTTAAAACCACAACACATGCCCTCAACAGAAGACAAACCCGGGTGTGATTGGATTCGCTTTTGCGTTAGCTGCTCAAACTTACTCCATGTGTCGATGGGATGAGTGCGTATGGCATTGCGGAGCTTCTTCGCAATCCTCGCGGTGGGCCTGGGGCATGTCATTGACCAGTCCAAGTGTGACTGCTGCGATGAGTACCTTGCAAGCAACGCAAGCCAGGGTGGTTTCCTTCTAGCTTCCCCTTCAAGCACCCCACAAAGGCAGTTTTGTTCTTTTCCTCGGGTCTGAGTCAAGATTTTCTAGGCAGCCAGCCCCACAGCCAGGGTTGTGGGAAGCCCTGGGCTGATCAGGTTGCTAAACGCAAAGATGGACTTGTTTGCACCAGAGCATTCCGGAAGTAAGACATGGAAGAAGAGTGCTGCGGGAATGAGTGGCTGATTGCCACTTCTACGATACCAGAGAACCTTCCCTGAGTGAAGATTGAGTTTTGGGGAAGGACTTTTGCTTGTACCACACAAGCGGGAGGTCCTCAGGACCCTGTTGTGTGGCCCTATGCAAGCATATTTATAAACAGGTATAACTAGTATGACAGAATCTCTATGAAACGATTGACATATAAACACAGTTCAACCGAAGGTGTTGCTCGTTTTGCGGGATTGCAAAAAAGACACCGCTCTACTGCTCCGAGGAACACATGCACATTTCGGAGTGCGTCTTTTTGAGGGCACCATGTTTGGCTTGAAGGAAAGTCAACAGGGCCAATTCTTGTTTTGGGGCGTCCTCCAGTTTTTTACTTGATTTATGCGTTGCCATATGTAGCAAGCCCCTGGTGATTCGGAGGTTTCCTCGTCTGAGGTACACCTTGCACGCCTACGCGGGGGAGCTGAACCGGCACTGCTTCCCGGCGGCCTTGCTGTCCGAACGCCAGGACCTGATCTTGGGGGAGGCCGGCGATGGCAGCCCCTCCGTGCCGCAGGACAGGGCGAGGAAAAACTGCCAGCCCCACCCGCCACCCCCTGCGCCCGACCCCCAACCCTCCCCAAAAAGTTAAAACCCTAGGGTCCCAAGACCCTACGACTTCAGGACTTTTACCCCCATGAACGGCGGGGGGAACTCCCCCAGCAGCTAGTGCGAAGTGGATTTGTTCCTCCACGGTACCACCTTCCAAGCTCACAGCCGATTTGTGTTTTCAAGGTTCTGTTTTATTTGTGGAGGTCTTCCAAGACCGGGCCCTGGTTTGGCCCAAGGACCTCTTTGGTGAGGGTCCTGAATTTCAAGCAGTTGGGCCCCTTGGACTTCATATATTGGGATTTATGTCCGCCAAACACTTGTTGCGGGTTTTCCCTATTGCGATTCGCATTTTTTCTTGGCCAAGAAGTACCTGTAGTCATTATCCAGAGATTACGTGGGTACCTTATACCCTTGAAATTCACTAAAAAGAACAAGCAACACCATGTCTATATTTTATAGATACATTCCCCTTTTCATCACGCACACACACAGCACAGCAGACAAACAGACGAGCAAACAGACAAGCAGACAGACTGACAAGCAAACAAGCAAATCACTTTTCAGAAGTCAGGGAACCCCGTCACATGTCATTCCCGTATTTTAGAAACATATACATTCACCAAACAAAACCCTGGAGACTCACCCACAAACAACCAGCAGCAAAACACAAATAGACAACAGAGGCCATATCTATGCTTTCTAGGTTCACACACAAACCACCAAACCAGAAACAAACTAGGACCATGTGTAATATGCTCTAGATTCACCAACCAAACCTCAGGTAACCCTTAAAGACCCACAAAATGGATTTTGGTGTTCCTTTTCAATTCACTTTAGAGCCACAAAAAGGAACCCACCTGTTGAACCCTGTTCTAGATGGGTGTGTTTGTTCAGGGGAGCCCCCCAAAAGGTGGTTTGCCTTTTGGCTTCCCCTTTACCGGCCCTTTACCATCAAAAAAGGGGTACCCTCAAAAAACAAACACGCCCCTTTGGAAGTTTCCTTGTAATGTTAGACCTCCTTGAGTAATAGTACCCTCTATTGTGGAAACTTGTTCTCAAAGTCAGGATCCTTTGACTGTTTTAGGGGTTCTCTATATTATGGAAAGTGGTTTTGCCGGAAACAACGATGGAAACAATATGGGCAAACAACTTGGCAAACAAGTCGGGTAAACAAACGGGCAAACAAATCCTGGCAAACATTGGGAAATCCTTTTCTTGAAGTGGTCCCCAAACCTTCAAATTTAAGATAACTTCTTTACAAGAAGGTGCGGGCAAACAGTCACACAAAGGGGGCTGCCCACAAGAGGCCCAGATCCTCTTTAATGTGACTGTTTGGGGTTCTCTTTAGTGTCCAGCTGGTTTCGGGGTTGCTGAAAACTGAGAACCAAAGCCTCAGCCTTTTGCTTTTAAGGGGGGGGTGCTCATCCTAAGCTCTCCCCAGCTCAAAGGTTAAAGGCCTGAGATCTGGGAAATCCATTTTGCAAGCTGTTCCCAAACCATCAAATTTAAGATAACTTCTTTACAAGAAAAGTGAGGGCAATCAGTGACACAAAGGGGGGTGCGCACAATAGGCCCAGATCCTCTTTAATGTGACTGTTTTGGGGTCCTCTTTAGTGTCCAACTGGCTTTGGGGGGTGCGGAAAAATGGTCCTTGGCAATACTAAAGTAGAGTTGGCAATACTAAAGTAAGTACTGTAGAATTGGCAATGCTAAAGAATACTAGCGTAGAATTGGCAATAGTAAAGTAAGTACTGGGAATCTGAGAGGAGCCTTGGCAATACTAAAGTAGAATTGGCAATACTAAAGCAAGTACTGGAAATCTGAGAGGGAGCTTTGGCAATGCTAAAGTAGAATTGGCAATACTAAAGTAAGTACTGGGAATCTGAGAGGGGGCCTTGGCAACACCACAGTAGAATTGGCAATACTAAAATAAGTACTGTCCCTCCCAGACCCCCAAAATTTTCACTAAAGAGGGTCCAGCTGACTGGTTCCACTTTTAAGGGCGGGAAGGGGGGGTCCGTGTAAAGAGGGTCCAACATTTGGCCAGTTATTTTTACAAGACAAGAAAGCAACAAAAAAACTCCACCATTTTGAGAAACCTGTTCTACGCTGGATGCCTCAAATATTGCACGTGGGGAACAAGGGTTTTCCCGCGCAATTTCAACCATGCGGGTCGATTACTTGTAACAAATTTGGGTCCTTTCGAACCCATTCAAGGGTTTTGCCCCGTAAATTCAACCATGGTCTGTGGCTGATTTGCTTGCGACATCATGTTGGATCTGTATTTAAAACACCCAATGCACGTGACGGCTTAGCAATATTCATATATATATATATATACATGCATATATACATACATGTATATATACATATATACACATTTTACACACACATATATACACACACATATATATATATATATACAACGCCGGCGTCCGATTCCGCTTCAGGAGGCCCTGGAGATCCTCTGCGCCAGCGCGCTGTGCCGGAGCTCCGTGCTGCGCTTCTGGGCCCGCGTGCGGGGCTGCTCCGAGAGCAGCGCCTGGAAGCGCTACGGCCTCGCCTGGGCGCAGGCCCGTTGAGCGTTCCCTTTGGGGTGGTGTCCGTGGGGGTTTCCCCGTGTTTTTTTTCTTTTTTTTAATAAACAATATTTTTTTCACGTTGTTGTCCTCGGGTTGGCCTTTTTTTCGGGTTGTCCTCGTTTGTTGTGTCCCTCTTTCTTTTTCTTTTTCGGGTTTTCCCGGTTTTGCTTGGGGTTTCCTGGTTGTGCCTCAGGTTTTCCTCGGGGGTTCCTCGTTTTCCTTGTTTTCATGGCCATGTGGGAGGTTTTTTGGGGTTGTTCGTAGGATTGTCCTTTCTCCTCGTTTCTTATTTTGATGGTCAATCTGGGCCCCTTCAAGTGCTGGCGCTAGGCGTTCCTCTGGGTGTTGCTTGACTTGGTTTTCGTGGAGTTGTCCTTGGTTTGCAAGGTGGGTTCGCAGTTTTCATGGGATTCTACTTTGTTCTTCATGTTGTTTTCTGTTGTTTTCTGTTGGGCGTTCAAGCCTTGTTTCACTCCCGGAAGCCAGTATTTCGCCCCTTTTGGGTGGCTTTAAGCGCCACCTGGTTTTTGGGGCTGTATTTTACTTTTCTGGTCCCGTTTTCATTTCATGTATGTGTTTGTTTGAGGGTAGCCGTGTGGGCTATTTTAAGGGGGAGCCAAGACGACATCCCCCAATTGGATCAAGTTAAGTTCCCAGTTCTGCAGCTTTGGTCAAATTTCTAACGTTCCGAAAGGTGACTCTCTTCGTTAGCCTTGTTGGCGAGTTTGGTGACTTTTGGTGAGTCAGCTTTGTCATTTGGTTGGTGAGTTTTGGTGTCGTTGGCGAACATCACCTTGTTTCCTTGTACGCCCTCCATGGCTCCTTTCTGGGCCGTCATATCTGGGTGTACCAACCTGAGAGTGTCCCGCCCCCTTAGCCCGGTGGCTGGACATCCACGCGCCTCTTTGCCTAGCAATTGGCTGAGGTTTGGTGCACAGGTTGCACCCTCAACGCGACAGTCCTTTATTTCTGGCCCTGGCACTTACTCCATGAGTCGGCCTTTGTACTCGGGATGTCCATTCTGGACGCTTCAAAAGTTCTGACCTTTATTGGATTTATCCACCGAGGAAGTGAGTTAAAGACCATCCAAAGGGCTTAAGTGCCATGCTGGGGTACAACAAGTAGTATGTCTTGGGTGGTGTACATCGCTTCCAATTTGCTCCGGGCGTTTCCTTTGGTAGCAAAGTTGTTGGTTTACACCAGTATTCAAGTCGGGTTTCCTTCCCAAGTGCCAGGGATTTTGTCCATCTGATGTTATTTGGTTGGCAACGTAGAGGACCTTGCCGAAGCTCTTGCTCAAATTCAGGCTTTGTCACTTCCATGGGCTCTCGGTGGAGGGTCCTTTGTGCATACATGTCCCAGTTCCTGGTTGGTGAGAGGACAACCATTTTTCACGGTGAATGGCTGAACTAGCCAATAAGGCCTCAATGAGAGCGTTCCCAGCTTGTCCCAGGCTTATCCTAGGAAGGACCTCCCCCCTCCAACCCGTACCCCCGGACCGGGTGGCTCGCAGGCGAAGCTGCGGTGCATGCGGGTGGAGGAGGCATGGTGCCGGGCGTCTTGTTGGGAGAGTTGCACGTCTTCCAACGGATTTCGCTTTCCGCGATGCCAAGGGCATCTCCTTCAAATATGAAAGCGACGTCCTTGAGATGGCAAACACTTTGGCATCACAGCCACGGTGATTCTCTATGAGTTGGTCATGTGAACGGAGCCATTATGTCACCAGATAGCAAGATTGGCGCCAACAAACGTGCTTTATAGAGGTCTTACACCTTAAATACGGCATAAAACCGTGCTGGTCCCCCCCCCCCAACCCCCCCCCAAACCAGCCTCAGTTCGTGTCTTCGATTCTGGTCCATAGTTGTGTGTGTTTTCAGGTACCAGGTTGTTTGAAAGGGACAACAACAGCACATTCGCACTCCTTGTTCGCGGGGGTGGGGGAGGGGAGAGGGGGCCCTTTGAGTGACATACCCATTTAGCAAACCTGGAAATATCAACTCGCTGGAGGGGTCCGAGCTCAGATCTGCTCGCGGCGATCTCCCTTTCAGCCACGCCATAGATCGCTCGCCATTCCAGAACCCTTTCCCCACCGAGGAAAACGACCTCCAGCCACCCTTGAGCCCTAAGATGTAACCACTCGCCAAAGCTCAGGCGCAGTACCAAGTGCTGATGCAGGCCACCTTTGCACGGGACGTCGGCGGAGGCAGGTTTGCGGAGCCAGCCCCCCCGAAGGGCACACCTGCAGTTCTGGTCGACTAAGACCAAGCATGGGTGGGTGTCAGAATAGTGGGACCCCAAAAATTGTTGCACCCTCAAAAGCTACCGACCCATATTTGGAACAGACTGTGAAAGAGGGTGGAGTGGGGTGAACCTAAACCCACCCATTTAGGTGTTACCATGCTTACCTCACATCAACTCGAAGTGGCACCATCTGCTTTCACCCCGATGAGGATGTTTGAACTAGCGGTGCCATCTGCTTTCACCCCGATGGATGAGGACAGGATGTTTGAACTGGGCGTGTCTTCAAAAGTGGGTTTCCCAGCATTCCCACCCACTCCCGCCCGTCCCCAGCATTCCCACCCCTCAGCATTCCCCAGCATTCCCACCCCCCACCCTTCACCAGCATTCCCACCCACTCACCCGTTGCCCCCAAAAAGATCTCGGCGTCATATTTTCTGCGCCGAATCCCCAGGCACCGACTCCGGCACCTTAGAGGCGACGGCCTCCGCGGTGAAGGAGGCCCTGCAGAGGTCGATGCAACCCCCAGGCCCAAGCCGACCGGGAAGGGGGGCGGGGGTTTGCTGGATGGGGTTAGCTCCCTGAAAAACATCAAGTGCCAAAAAAGGTTGCCTTTTTGTTATCTCTTTTCTTTGAGGGGTAAACCCCTTGAAGGTCAAGTACCCACAAAAGGGCGCCCCCTTTTGTTTTCCCCGTAGTTAGCGGGGGTCTGGGGAGGGTGCCGCTTGGTTCTCCAGTTCCTGTTTGACACCCAGGAAGGAGATTTGGAAGGTTTGCATTGTCCCTTTTGCAAGGGCCAATTTACTTTCCTTTTGAAAGGGTTGAATGAGAGCAATCCGTTTCTTTTCGATTGGTACTTGCCGTGCCAGGTTTATTCCCAGCGCTCTTTAGATTAGTTGTTCCCCTGCCTTTTTTGGACCTTTTTCGCGCCACCCCTTTTTCTTCCCAATTTCTGGTCTCTATGTGTCTACCGTCGCTCATGGTATTGGTGTTCAAAGGGGAGCCAACGTGAAACCAAGCTTCCCTACTTGGCGATCTCCAGCCATACCGGCCACACCCTTAGACTTTTAGAGTTAGGTATTCGTGACACAAAGTTTGACTTTAGCAAATCAAGGAACCAAGCGGGCAGCGCCCAAAACCACCATTGGACAACTGGTTTAATAGCTGCTCAAAGCCTGGGCTCAAGGACCTACCAGAGGTATGGCGGCGAAGCCTTAAGCAGTGTCGACTGTGTCGCACTGTCCATGACAACATGAACTTGGTCGAGCCATTGTCACAACGTATCAGATCGCAGTCTCATACCTTTGAGGCCCCGCTCACGTCAGCGCAGCCCCATCCAGTCTGTGGCGCCCGCTGGATTTGCATCTACGAACTTTGGTACCTGATTCGCATCCCTGCCTTGGGCACCTTATGGGTCGGGATATCTCTCTTTATGGCGCCAGTCGCATTCGCAATTGTACGCATCACGCCACCCTCATCGCAAACCGGCATCTTGGCACCGAAGGCATCATCTATCTCTACTGCTGTATCTCTACTGCTGTCGTCGATCCCCAGTGCCTTAAGCATATGCAGAATGATGAGACGGTTCATGATGAGTCTACTGCCAGTGCCACTTCGCAGCTCGCGAAGTTCACCTCCAAGTTGCCCCCTCCACAGGTTAAGGAGGTGTTTACCACTGAGCATGGAACGCAAACCCGCGCTAGCAGAGTTCATGATATTTGTGCCTTCTGACGTATTTTCATGGCCTTTCCCAACATGTCTGTCCAGGACTCTGAGCCGTCTAGGGTTATCGGTCAGGTCGTCTACGCCCTTCCCACCACTAAGTGTCTGGCAAACATTAGTATAATTCCACGAGCTGGCTTTTGCACAGTTGAGCAGCCACCGGGCTGCGAGATGTTCATCGCCAACATAGGGCGGAGATATGTGCATCGATTTATGAGGGTGTCCTTTCGGACGTAGCCGAGCCAGCGGCGCCATGTCTCACACACTGCGTCGAACTCCGCACTTCGGCCGGCGTTCGTCCAGCTGCGCGGACAGCGCCAGGCGTCAAGTTCAAAGTCAAAGGTTGCTGCTGAAGTGTAGAGCCACCCCATTTCAGCCACACCCCGAGGTGGCGCCGCCTTGACTCTGCGCGTGCAGCTGGCGCTGGCGGCCTATGGCCCACCCGTGGAGCCCCCGATGCGCTTCGCGCTGGCGACCCCTGAGACCACCCGCTGCCCTCAGCTGGTGACCGCCTTCCCCTGGGACGGCGAGGTCAACGTGGAGCCCGGGCTCCGGCGCCTGGGCAAAGCATTGCATGGGCTTGCGGTTTTTCTTTTGGATCTCAGGTTGATTCAAAAGCACGACCAGAAAGGAAAAACACATTTTCGGTGACACTCATGCAACAAAAGCCACCGGTGAAACGAGGTGGGGAGCTTGAATTTGAACATCGCTGTCTGGAAGGCAATTTTGATTTGCGAGCTTTCCCTTTTGTGAGGTGATGTTTGTAGAGTCGAAGTATAGGGGGCGTGACATGTTTTTGTTTTTTGGTTCTTCTCAGCTTCTCCCTATGAGTTTCCCCGGAATTTGTTGCCGGCTTTGCATGATAGCGCGGGGAAATACTCTAGGTTCAAGAGGGGCTCTTTGCGGGGAGAGGGTAAGGACTAGGTAGGGAGGTACTTTGCTCACAGTTCAGCCCTTCGATTTTTCCAGTTTTGGTCATGTTTAGTCAACCCATCAATTTTTCCAGTTTTGGTCATGTTTAGTCAACCCAACATGTGATCTCTTTCATTAAGCCCGGCCCTTTGGTTGCAAGTGCGTTTGGCCACATCAATGATGTCTTCGTTTGTCCTTCCAGTGATCTCCTGAAAGGCTGCTGTCCCGCAAGTGCCAAGGATTTCTGCCTCTGAGGCTGATGGCAGACAAATTCGTTTCAGGTTGCCATGTTCTGTGATACCGAGAAAGCAATGTTTCCAGAACCGAACAGTCATGGTCGGCTGGATCCAAATCAACCACAAAGCGGTGTCACACAAAGTAGCCGACCGACCGACCGGGCCCCTCTGTTTGAAGAGCTGCGCCTCCCGAAAACTTCTGCTGATGGGTGAAAGCTTCGGAAGGTGGTTCTCAGTGCTTAGCACCTGGGCTTGGCAAGGTTTGGGCTTAAACTTAATTTGTTCACACATTCAGCCTAGGAAAACACGCGAGACTGGCACATTCAAAGGTTTGCCGCGTGACAGCTCCATCTCCGAAGTGGCAGCAACTCTGCCCTGCGTTTTGACATTCCCGTTTTCCCGGTCTTCTTGTGTTTGTTTGTATCTTTGTCTCGTGTGTCCTAGGTTCCCCAGTAGTGCCCTTTTACCCTTTTTGAGGGGAGGGTTCCCCTACTAAAATAGACTACAGAAAAAAGGGTACCCTTATTCTAACCTCTCTACTGGAGGACCTAGTGTCTGTTTTGCTTTTTGCAGGTACCTGCCCCAAACGGACGCCGAGGTACCTGGTGCTGCACCTGGACCGCTGCGTGCAGGGCACCGAGGCCACGCTGCTGGGCCGCGGCAGCGCCGCGGGCCGCGCGGAGGACGGCCGCGGCGCCGGGCGGCGCCTGGCCGTGCTGCCTGCGCTGACGGAGGAGATGTGCTCCAGGGAGGCGCTTGGGAGCGAGAAACGGCCATGGGTCACAACTTAACCACCCATGCCGCTCGCCATTTTGGGGCGGGTGAACCTCCACCGCCTACGTTGACGTTCGCCCGGGGTGCAGATTTTCGACCCACAGCCAGATGTGAAGCCCATAGGCCTGGGATCAGCCCAGGACGAACGGGTTTTTTGATTGGACGAACTTCGGCGCCGCTAACGCGTGGTTGAAGCGATGGTTTGCTGGGGGGATTTAGAGGGGAATCATGAGACACCAGGGGTTCTTAGGTGGCGCAACATGGAGTTCGCGACCATTCGCAGTATTGGAATTGGAACCCAGTAATAAACCGTTGGTTGATTAATGATTGGTTGATTAATGATTCACAGATGGGTGTCCCATAAAAAGAGCGAGAGAGAGGGAAATATTGTTTTGTTGATATGAAGCATCTGAAAGATATTAGTCTTGTAGAGTGGGGCTTGGGGGAAACGTGTGGTGAAAGCATCTCTGGCTTGGGGGTTGACAACAGTTGCCAGGGGTGCTAAACAACTGCCCGAGGAAGTGGGGGATCTGAAAAAAGCTAACAGAGAAGTCCGACAAGCAGCACAAATCAAAGCAGGTACTGTTGGTAAAAGCAGATGGCTCAATTCCCGCATGTTGGTTTGGTCATCCCCTTTACTTGCCCACACAAGGGAACTTGCGCCATCTACTTTTGCCCTGGTGTAAAGATTTGGGCATGTCTCCAAAATTAGGGAGCCCCTAAAGCGGAGAGTTCCCTGGGGTTCCCTTTAAGAAACCGGGTCCCAAAAAGCTACGCCCATTCGGGCCCCAGGACTTGAAAGCGGCCCTGTTATGTTTGGTGTCGCCAGGTGATCCGAGCAGTGCTGCCGTCGGGACACACGCTGCCGGGAAGGACGCTGATCTTTGAGCCCGAGCGGCCGCTGTCTGCAGGCCGCCGGTCTTTCGAGAGCCACCGAGGGCGATGGGGCGATGGGGGGGGGGGACGTAAGAGGGAAGATCATACCCTATGTGTCGTTCAGGCTGGCTCCAGCTTTGAGTGAATTGTTGAAGTGAAATTATAATGATTTTGCAATTATTGCAATTATTGGAATTGAATTCCAATAATTACAATAATTGCAATAATTTCAGGTCCTGGATTTTGCAATTATTGCAAGTATTGGAATTGAATTCCAACAACTCCAATAATTGCAATTGCTAAGGTGCAGGTCCGGCTTTTTGAGCTTCAAAGGGGCTTCAATGCGTCGAAGCGTTTGTTTTGACTCTCATCTGTACTTGAATGCAACTCTTGGCACTCCTCCCATGCAGCTTTGCTATGCGGCGCTGCATGTCCAAAAACGGCCTCAAGCCCCCTCAGTTTACGCCGTCCTGCAGTAGCCACAGAGCGTGATGCGCACCGGATCGCCCCCCGCACAGCACATCAACGAGTGGTAGTGACCCAGCCCTCGAAAGAAGATGGGTCCTGGAAGGCTCGTCACCAGCCTTCTGAAGTCCGGGGTGCAGCACCTTGGGCACGGAAGCATCTCGTGAATCCGCGTGGCGTTCTGCAGTCCATAGCAATCCATGAAGGTGTGGTACCTTTCTCCATGGTTGGTCCTATACAACAACGGCCCCGTAGGCAGATCTCCTTCTCCCGGAAGCAACTCCTCGTCCTCCGGCTCCGGCTCCAAATGCTGCCTCGGCATCCAACTCGCCTCTCGCCCCTTACCGTCTCCCTTGCGCTTCGGCATCGGCTTGGATTTCGGCTTGGGCGTGGCTCCCAAATTCCTGCTCCCTCCACCTCCGGTAGAAGATACCCTTTGTGGCGTAGCTCCTCCTTCGCTCCATGACGTACTCCTCGATGTAGGTCCACCTCCGGTAGAGGACACACTTCCCGAGGTCGGTCCACCTCCGGTAGAAGACGCACTTCCTGATGTCCCCTCCCGGTTCCTTCCAACCGTCCTTCGGATTGTCGACATAGTCTCCTCAATCACAACCTCTTCTTCTTCCGCGTCCTCGTGCGGATCCGTCACCCCGCCTGATCTCATGGCCCTGATCCGGGGCATGACCGCCCTTTGACAGACCAGTTCTACCATCTTGTACAGGATGATGGACATGATGCTCACCACCGCCATCAGGACCTTCAACGTGTCCGCCGGCTCTTCTTCTCCTTCGACTTCCACCTTTTCCTTCACCGCCTGGACCTTTGTGATCATATTCGCGAGGGTCATCACCTTGACCATGCCCGTGATACTCTCCAGATCTCCTTGACCGTTCGCCTGCTTGGTGTTCTCCTGACCGACATTGATTCCCTCCACAAATTCCTCCAAAGGCTCCAGCCTCCACAGCCGACGCAAATCATCGATACGTCTTCCCGTGAGGGCCTTGGTCCCGAGGTCCGCGAGCATCGTCTCCCCCATCACGTGGTGAATAGACCAACTTTCATCCATGAGCCTCCACCTCAGGTTGAACGCCCTGACTCGCAAATGCCTCGTTCTCCAACTCCCGCCAGCTTCCGAAGTGATAGCTATGGCTGCTGAGCTATCGGATAACAGCTGCCTCTTGTACGTGCAGCCCATCGCCTCCTCGATCTCCGAAATCAGAGCTTCCACACTCTCGCCCATGATGATGCCCTCCAAGCACTCCATGAGCTCTGCTTCCCCGGTTGACAACGTAGGGCTGCTTTGCCTTGAGCTCTTCCACGCCAGTGGAGCACCATTCCAAAGCACCACCACCGATCCATGGCTTAATCCACCTCCTGGAGCAAATGACGCGTCTGTGTAGACCTCCATCTTTCGCTCAGCAATTCCGGTAGCCCCCGCGTTCATCTCCCGGTCAAACCACAGGCCCATATCGATGGTCTTCAGGAGGTACTTCCTGACCTGTGCCGCTATTTCCAAAGCCCACCTGGGCGCTCTCGTCACCGCCGATGACATCCTGCTTGTCGCAAACATGAGGTCTGGCCTTGTCTTCGTGGTCAGCCACAACACTTCTCCCACAGCCTTCTGCGCGGCTTGCACCTCATGCGGCAAGATGTTCGGCTCCTCGGGCATCTCAGTCATGTCCTTTGCGATGGGAATGACCGATCCGTAGCCCCCATCCTTGTATCGACTGAGAAGCTCCTTCGTGTAGGACGACTGCCCCAGGTGATACCCGCGTTCTGTTCGGCTTATATCCATGCCGCAGAACCTCACCTTCTCTCCCTTCTTGACGAACTCTGGAACGCTCGTCTCCCACTTCTGCTGAATCACCTTGCATAGCCCTCGCAGAACTCCTCCCGTCGAGTAGGCCAAGATGTCGTCCACGTAGATTGCCATCAGGCCCACGAGCTCGCCGTGCTCATCCTCCCAGTCCCGCCCCTTCATGATCTTCCAGACGTTCGGGTCCGAGACCGTCTGGGCCAACCAGTAGCAACCACCTCCTTCTTCCCACCTCATTTCTCGCATGTTCTGGTCCCGAAAGACAGACCACCTCCTCGGCGACTGGCGAAGCCCATACAGAGCCTTATCCACCGCCCAGTACTCGTCTTTCTTGCACAAGCCCAGGGAGATGAGGATGGACGGAGGTTTCATCAGCAATATCTTCTTCGGCTCACCCTCCGTCTCTTTCTCCTGAAGCGGGGCGTTGAGGAACGCGGTCTTGATGTCCAGGACCATTGCCTCCCAATCTTGCTCCGCCGCGTATTTCGTGATCGTCCTGATGGAGATCGTGTCGGATCCTCCAGCGTACAACGACTCGTCGGAGTCCTTACCTCCTCCCTCCGCGTAGTTCCCGCAGATGACGATCCTGCACTTCTTCTTACCGTTGGGCGCCTTCACCGTAGGAACCATCTTGCCCGGCATGATGTCCACCTTGTAGTCCGGGCTCCCGAGAAGTGCCCGCGCCTCTTCGTTCGTGACTCTCCTCACCGCCTGCTTTCCGTCCAGGAGCGAGTCCACTTCGGCCTTGATCGCCGGCAACCACTCCTCTTTGTTCTTGATCACCTCCGCATGGCTGGCAATCCTTGTCTGGAGAACCTGCTTCTCTTCTTCCCCCATCACTTCTTCCACCAGAGCCTCCTCTGCCAACTTCATCTCCTTGATCTTGACCGCCGTGATTCCCAAGACCTCACCCTCGTCCTGGTCCATGGCCTTCGTCTCCTCTTCGATAACCGCCCGAAGCGTGCAGAGGTCACCGAGCTCCCTGTCTCCTTCCTCTCCCACATTTGTCTTTCCCCTGATCCTTCTCCGCGGATGATGTGGTTCAGCCTCCTCCGGTAGTAGTCGATCTTCTGGTTCCACCACTCCCCTCACTATCCTGGAGACCACCTCAATCTTGCCATCTTCCCGCAGAATTCCATGCCCGCTCGTGACCTCCTTAACCACGGCCAAGTAGCGCGCCTTCTCGTAGGTAGGTCCGAATGGATCCTGAGTTCTCTTCCACGACCTCCTTGGGACCCAGACCTCCTCCCCAAATGCCGCCGGCATCAGCTCATTCCTCTGCCTTTTCTCCTCAGCCACCACTGCGTAGCGAGCCGCCATTGGCCAAAACTTCACATCCATCTTTGCTCCCTTCAACAACCTCCTCATTCGGCTCTTCAGACTGCCGATACAGGCTTCAGCGCGACCACTTTCTTGGGGCGAGTCCGCACTTGTTGTGGTCTTCTCGATCTCCCTCACCAGGCACCATGTCTTCAGGTCATGGTTCAGGAACTCCTTTCCCCGGTCAGTGTGCAATCTCTGAACCGGGTATCCTTCTCTTTTCAACTGGATGTAGATGTCCTGCAGCCCTTGAAGCACCGTCTTCGCCTTCTTGTCTGGCAGGGAGACAGCCTTGACAATCAGCTTCAGCGGCTTTGGCTCCCCACATTCCTTTTTGGCCCGGTCCTCCGGATCCTCCTCCCGGCCGTCTCCATCTACTTCCCCCCTTTCACCTTCCTTGTCGCCTTCTATCTCATCCAGCTCTCCTTTTTCGCACGCTGGATCATCTTCTTCTACTCTCTTCTCCTCCAGGACTGGCAAGTCCTCTCCAGCTTCCTCCTTCTCCTTGCCGTCGAAGAACTTCTTCTGGTCCTCCTCCGCGGGCCAAGTGAAGGAGCCGATGAGGAAGTACTTCTGGGTCGCATCCCCAACGTCTTTTCCAGCCCGGTATGGGCCACTCAAGTCTGCGTTCAAGACTGCCGCGTAGGGATAGGCGATTTTTGCATGTCGCTTCCCCCTTGCCGACGCCTCCTGACAAACTCGGCAGTCCCGACGAAACGGTACATGCCCATGGCGGACGTGCTCAAACCAGCTCAGCTTCTTGACGTGAGCTGGTCGTCCAAAGACCTCCTGCTGCAGAGATCGTGCCACTTCTCTCATGAATCCCGGGGCCCATCTTGACAAAGCCGCCGAGTCTGCTACCACCGCCGTCTCCCGGGTAGTTGCCAATGAGGATCCTCGTGGCGGCAACTCCACCTCCAAGTCCGTGGCAATGCGCGTCGGCTTCACCGCCAACCCACCGTAGTCGCCCTGCTTGAAGCTGTGCTCCAGTAGCCCGTGTTGATTTCGGAAGGCCTTGTAGTTGTCGGTCCTCCACCATGATCCACACTCCGGCACATATCCCGGCGCCTCCGGCTGCTCGAGCAAAAACGCAACCTTGGATCTGGCCGTCTCCGTCATTTTCCTCGCCCTTCTAGCCTCCTCCGCCGCACAGTACAACATCACCATGCGGTAGAGAAGCACGTCGTCCTCGAAGACCTGCTTCTTCTCCTCCTCGTCCAGCCAGGGAAAGCCAAACCAATTCTCCGGTTCCACTCCCCTCACAGGCCTCGGCCTCCCAGCCGGCAGCGGGTAGTGCCTCAACACGCTCCGAGTCCTGCAGTTGGGACCTCCCACCACTCCTAGGATGTTCCCATCCAAGGCTGCCCTCAAGAGAGAAGGATATAGCGGGCCGTTCAACATGTCGTGATTGTCCCCTCTCTTGAGATCAATCTC